CGGCGGCGGCTTCGGCGCGGTCCCAGGCCCCGAGCGCCCTAGCAGGTGAGGTCCGGGCTCGCACCTGTCTCGGAACCCCGGAGACCTGCTCGGAGACCTAGGGGTTTGGAAGGACTGGAGAGGGACCTAGCCCAGCTGCAGGGTGTTTTGACGGGACTGAGGGATTTAGGGGGCCGTGGGGTCCTGCGGGGACCGCGGGCTGTTGAGGGGGTGGCAGAAGCGGGGCTGGGAGCCCCGGGACCCCGAGGCGTCTGCATGCGGTCCTAGGCACCGAGGTGGTGCTGACCATGATGGACTACAGAACTGGGGATGCCATGGGGTTTGGGAGACAGAGGGCCGGAGCAGGTGCCATGGGAGCCGTGGGACGTCTTGATGGTGTTGACAGTGTCTTGGGGCTCTGAGGCCGGGACTGAGGCTGGAGGCTTTCTGGGAGGTGCTGAAGAATCCCAAGATGGCTAAAGATAGTCCTGGGGTGTGCTGAGATCACCCGAGAGGGTGAAATCCGTGGGAGGTTGCTGGGGGGGGGGGCTCGAGTGAATGTGGAAACCTGACTGACCGAAGGTCCCTGGAAGATGCTGAGAGGGGTAGACCAAAGGGTCTGAGGGTTCTAGGGGTGTTGAGGGGCTGCAGCCGGTCGTGGACAGCCTGAGGATGGTAAGAGTCCTGTGGGTCTGTAGAAAGCACAGGGAGAGTTCTTCTTTGGGGCTCCTCTCTCCTATCTCCATGGGGTTCAACTCCCCATCCCTCCAAGCTAAAGAACTTGAATTCTGCCCCAAGACAAGGGGGCAGAATTCACCTCTTTGATCCCAGGAAAGGCCCCCTTTCGCCGTGTCCAAGTCCTGACATGGGTTGCCTGATCCCCAAAATTCACAAAAAAATTCTGTTTAGGGACCAGCAGTTAGCATAATAGCTATGTCGCTGGACTCCCACGTAATCGACTGTGGTTTGAGTCCCAGACCCGGTGGCTTAAACTCAGGCCAGGTGCGTGTGCGTGCGTGCCCAAGATCCCGAGAGGAGAATGGAGGAGAAGGGATTGCAGTGTGGCCATCCCCCGTGGGGGGGTGATCTCTCGCTTTCTGTCTCTCTGTCTCTCTCTGTCTTTCTGGCGAGTGCATGCACCCTACAGCAAAAACCTCTAAAAAAATATTGTGTTTATATGTTTATTGCACCTGCCTTAGGGTGCACGACCTCCCTCTTTATCCCCCATTGGGCAAAGCCAAAGGCTGGCATGACCCAGACCCTCTCACTGCCAATGCCCCAGGCAGTCTGCCACCCTGAGCCAGTGACTTCTGTCCATGTGATCAGTGATGACATCGGTCAGTACCTGCGAGCTGTGCACTCGGTCCTTGCTGGGGGACGCTGAGCTGGTGCTGGCGAGGAGTGGCTTCAGGTCCTGAGTGTGTGACTTGGGCTGGAGAAGCCAGAGGGAAGGGGATTGGAGGGATGTGTGGAGAGATGGCTTGGCCTCGACTCAGAGGAGGCAGAGATGGCGCTGTCTGTCCCCGACAGTGCTGCGCAGTGCCTTGAAACCCAGAGGGAGGCAAGAGGCTGAGTCCAGTCTTCTGTGTCTATAGCGGATAAGATGTGACCAGAGAGGGACCAGCCATCCGATGTGGGGTGGTGTGGGGCAAGACTGGAGGGCTGCTGTAAGGAAAAAGGAGGCATCGGAGGATTTGGAGAGACATTCAGGGTGTAGAGTGGGCAGGTCCGGCAGGCCAGGTATGAGGTGGCAAATAAGAGAGGATAGTGAGCACCGAGTCCCTTGAAGGGGGAATACATTTTGAAAAATTATTTTTTTAGGGACCAGCAGTTAACATAATGGCTATGTCACTGAACTCCCATGTAGTTGACTGCAGTTCGAGTCCTGGACCCGGTGGCTTAAACTCATTCCAGGCGCATGTGTGTGCGTGCCCAAGATCCCGAGAGGAGAATGGAGGAGAAGGGATTGCGGCGTGGCCATCCCCCCGGGGGGTGATTTCTTGCTTTCTGTCTCTGTGTCTGGTGAGCTTACGTGCCCTCTAGCAAAAACCTCTTAAAATTATTTATTTTGTTTTATTTATTAAGTTTTTGCTATAGGGCACACATATTCACCAGAGAGAGAGACAGAAAGAGAGGGAAAGTGAGAAAGCAAGCCACTAGGTCTGGGAATCGAACCGCATTTGGCCATGTGGGAGTCCAGTGCCTTAACCACCAACACTACCTGCTGGCCCTGGCAAAGATATATAGATATAGATCTAGATTTTTTTTTAGAAAGAGTTTTACAATAGGACATGTTTGTTCGCCAAAGAGGTAGAAAGTGAGAAATCACCTCCCAAGTGGCATGGCCATGCCTCAATCCCTTCTCCATTCTCCTCTTGGGATTTTGAGCATGTATACACATGTGCCGGGTGTGAGTTTCAAGCCACTGGGTCTGGGACTTGAACCATCATGGGTTACATGGGAGTCCAGCCATGTAGCCTTTACGCCATCTGCTGGTTCCCAGGTTTTTTTTTTTTAGAGACAGATTTTTGCTATAGGTGCATATGCTCTCTGGAGCAAGAGAGAGACAGAAAGCGAGAAATCACACTCCTGGGGTGGAGGGTGGCCACGCTGCAATCCCTTCTCCTCCATTCTCTTCTCGGGATCTTGGGCACGCACGCACATGTGCCCGGCGTGAGTTTAAGCCACCGGGTCTGGGACTCGAACCGCGGTCGACTACGTGGGAGTCCAGCGACATAGCCATTATGCTAACTGCTGGTCCCCATGCCAAAATCCCTTCTCTTCCATTCTCCTCTTGGAATTTTGAGAATGCACGCATTTGCACCTGGCGTGAGTTTCAAGCCGCCGGATCTGGGATTTGAACTGCGGTCAGCCATGTGGGGGTCCAGTGCCTTAACCACTATGCCATTTGCTGGCCCCTCTTCTCCAGTTCTTTATCCTGTTGAGATTTTAGGCACACACACACACACACACACACACACACACACACACATGCCCAGCATGTTTCTCCAGCCACCTGGTCCAGGACTTGAACCCTAAGACTGGTCATGTGGAATCTGGCTGCCTTAACCACCAGGTCACAGAGCCAGCTTAAGCCAGAATTTTTTTTTTTTTTTTAAAGAAGTTTTTGACTTAGGGGGCCAGCAGGTAGCTTGGTAGTTAAGGGTGCTGGACTCCCCACATAGCTGACCATGGTTCGAGTCCAAGACCTGGCTGCTTGCTTTCTCTCTTTTTCTTTTCTTTCCCTCTCTGGTCAAATTAAAACTATGTAAATAAAGTTAAAGAAAATAATTCTTTAAAAAAAAAAGACGTTTTGACTTGGGGTACATATACTTGCTGGGGAGAGAGAGAGACAGAGACAGAGACAGTGAGAGGAAAAACAAGAAATCACTCCCCAGGGGAGATGGCCACAGGGCAATCTCCTTTCCTCCGTTCTCCTCTCAGGATTTTGGGCACACATGCACACGCACCTGGTGTGAATTTAAAGGCACCGGATCTGAGACTTGAACCGCAATCAGCCATGTGGGAATCCACTGTCATAACTGCTACACCTTCTGTTTCCCTCATACCCAGGTTTTTTTTTTTTTTGAGAGGTTTTTTGCTACAGGGCACGTGCGCTCACCAGAAAGACAGAGAGAGACAGAGAGACAGAAAGTGAGAAATCACACCCCAGGGAGGATGGCCACGCCGCAATCCCTTCTCCTCCATTCTCCTCTCGGGATCTTGGGCACACACGTACACGCGCCCGGCGTGAGTTTTAAGCCACCGGGTCCGGGACACGAACCTCAGTCAACCATGCAGGTGGAAGTCTAGCCCTTTAGCCACTAAGCCACCTGCTGGTCCTACCCCTGGATTGGATTTTAAAGTTTATTTATCGTGTTTTTATTATTATTATTATTATTATTTAACTCTATTTATTTATTTTACAAGACAATCCCTTCTCCTCCATTCTCCTCTCGGGATCTTGGGCACACACGTACACGCGCCCGGCGTGAGTTTAAGCCACCGGGTCCGGGACACGAACCGCAGTCGACTACGTGGGAGTCCATCAACATAGCCATTACGCTAACTGCTGGCTCCTACTCATGACTTTTCTGATGACCCAATAGAAGTGGAATTGCTGGGACATAGAGTGTTGTACATCTTTTTATTTTTCAAAAATTTTTAACTTAATTAATTATGATTATGATTATTTTAATTTGACCAATGAGAGACAGAGAAAGGGGGAAAGTAAGAAAGCAAGCCACCAGGTCTGGGACTCGAACTCTGCAGTTGGCCATGTGGGAGTCCAGTGCCCTAACCACCACACCATTTGAGGGCACTGGTTGTATATCCTTGATCGTCCGGGTCACCACCCGACATTCGAGTGTGTTGACTTGTCGAAGTGCCTTTTAAGTGGAAAATGTGTTTCTTTTGTGCCATTTTGTGTCCCTGGGACATGGATGACAGCGGGAATAAGTGTTCAAGAAATACAGCTGGCAGGGAGACCAGCAGATGGTGTAATGGTTACATAATTGGACTCCCAAGTAGTCAACCACGGTTCAAGTCCTGGACCCAGTGGCTTAAAACTCATGCCGGGGGACCAGCAGTTAGCATAATGGCTGTGTCTCTCGACTTCCATCTAGTCGACTGCAGTTCACGTCCTGGATCCAGTGGCTCAAACTCACGCCGGGCGCGTGTGCGTGCGTGCCCAAGATCCCGAGAGGAGAATGGAGGAGAAGGGGGATTCGGGCATGGCCATCCCCCCTGGGGGGTGATTTCTCGCTTTCTGTCTCTCTGTCTCTCTGGCGAGTACACACACCCTATAGCAAAAATCTCTCTCTTAAAAATAAAAAAAAGACCAAGAAATATGGCTGGGAGGGAGGGAGGGAGTAATGGGGTGTATGGAAAATTTCCTGTCCGTCGAGGCCTGTAGGTAGGAAGTCTCTTCCCCAATCCGATCAGGTTGGCCTTGTGGGGGACGCTGGTTTCCCGCATCTAGCCTTGGCTTCTGTCGTCTGGCCAGGGGTCGGGGACGTTGCTGTCTCCCTTTGGCCCTTCCAGCTGTACCACGATTCAAAAAACCC